CCAAAAATTTAATTTTAAAAGGGGAAAATTGGGGTGATATAATTTTTCGGAAACCCAAGGGGGGGGCGCCCCCCCCCCCCCCCCCCCCCCCTAAATCCGCCATTGATCATCATCATGTGTCAGGCCTGGTGCAGGCATTGGCGATCATGGTCCAACAATTTACTCTATTTTCAGTCGGTTGGATGAACTCGTGATTGTACAGTTGTTGATTTGTTGCGAAGGCATTAAGGCTATCAATGCACGATGTTCTTTGCCTTCCTCAACAGAACAGCCCTTCTGTAATTATCTCCGCCAATGATTAAACCGAATAACAACGCTTGCTTTGAAATACTTGCTAAATTGCACTTGACGACAAGACGATACAAGAACTGTCAGTGAGCCCATGGAAGACAGAGTATCGTATGATCATTTAATGGGGAATTTTTTGCTTGTTTATGTGTCAGGGCGGGGTTTTATCCTTGCCACATGCAGAGAAAAATCGCTGAGGGGTTGTGCTGTTATGTAAGAATCATGTTTCGAAAATGTTAAGAATGTGTATTTACCCGATATACATTGCCTTAAGTTGCAACTGAAACGCGGCACTTTAGATACGAGTCATAGGTTAGTACTGCAATTTACAAAATGACTTTTAAATGTGTGCGACTGTTTTGACGACAAAGGTAAAAAACGACCAACGACACGATTGAAGCGTAGGGGTAGGAGATTTAAAAACATGTCATTTTACATGAAATCTTTGCCAATTACTTTGATCATTAATGCAATAAGCCGTCGCCACAGATGTCAATATAATAGGAAACAGTCAATCTTATCTTCGGATTCAAGACAGCCGTTTTATTTATTCATGCAGTTTTCATGTCTATACATTTTGCTCATTTTTATTGTCGCTAGAAACAGTAACTACATTATTGAAAGGTCAATCAGGAATAATCGACCTGAACCCTACCACTCTCTCAAAGATCCCCAGCCCCTACACCAATTTAATTTAATTATTATTTTTAATTCCAGGCAGCTTCACTGCGACAGGATTACAATCCATAAGAATCTCTTCGTGTCCTACGTGTTAACGGGCGTTGGTTGGATCATTTACTACCTGAAGGTGCCCCTAGATCACGATGTGATAGTGTCTAACCCGGTGAGAGTCCCGCATCGTGTACCTTAATAAATCCATAAACAGTTAATTAATTAACTTACTAGTATATAAATCAATTTATTAATTATTATTTATTTATTACATCGATGAATAAGCACATAATTTTTATTCTTAGAAAATCATTACACCAAGGCACTGCCCCCACACTCTCTCAGATTCGGTAAATAAGTGTCATTTTTGGGCATGAGTCAGTTCAGATTCGTCATAGAAATAAATTAAAATTTCTTTTTTTTTTTTTTTTGCATCAGCACCTGAAGTAATATTTTACTGGCTGAATTATAGATATGGTAGATAGACAGACAGATATATAAATACCGTAGATATAAGCACACGTTGGGCGTTTTTTTAACATAGCCACTGTTCAAATACGCACGTCCAAGCAAGCGAGTTTCACCCATGGCTACATGTAGACGGCCACGAATACATGCAGTAACCGCAAATATTCTGTATTTCAGTTTTGGTGCCAGGGTCTACACGTCCTTGTGCAGTATCTGACCGTCTGTAACTACTTCTGGATGTTTTGTGAAGGGCTGTATCTACACACAATCATAGTGGTCGCGTTCACCACCGGGAAGGCATTGCTCATATGTTGTTGCGTCATAGGATGGGGTAGGTAATTGTGACGTCAGTTAGTTCGTATTGATATGTGACGTAATGTCTATAGCAGCGATTTCGAGCCGCTGCTTTAAATGACGCGCAAGTGCTTGTGACGTCAGTTGTAATTCTTTAAGTGTAACGTATATGTAACAGTGACGATTGATCTTATATTGTGGTTGAGAGTGCATGGAAAAGAACCCGATAATCAGTTTTCTTGATTTGTTTTGGCATTTCATACTTATATTTATACTTAGTTTATCACAAGCCATTTTTGTAGAATGTGTTTATATATTTCATCTATATTTACTTCTTAATTAATTAATTTATTTATTAATTAACACAGGTTTACCTGCGGTCATCACTTTCATATACGCCTCTGTACGTGGTATTTTGCGGGACGCTACCCACGAGTAAGTACAGTGTACATGTGGAAAAATATTCATTTCGTCATCGGCATAAGTGAATGCATATTATAGATGTATTAATGTATCACCATACTGCATATACCGGTACTTTTAGAGTTTGATCATTTGCATAACCTGAAATATTAGCGGCGGGAACGTTACTAATCACTTTAATTTTAATTTAAGTTTAAAATCATCGAGATTGAGAAGAACTATTCCCTTACTAAAAGGTGATTTGAGATCGACTAGGATGATAGTAAAAATAATGGTAATAATGAAGGAAACGTCTTTTTTTTATTAATTTATTCAGCTTTTTTTTTCTTTTTC